CTATCAGTAAAGTTGAGCGTATACTCAAGTGCTTGCACGTTTGAGATTTTAAGAGTTTGGCTCTGCAGTCATGGAGGGTTTTCTCTGTATTAGCAAATCATGCAGTGGAAAAGGGGCAGATGAACCGAGTGAAACAGCTGATACTGAGACCTGTGGTGTCTGCAGTTCTGGGTTTTTTTTGTGTTTTGGTAGCTCTAGTCTGATCCATGGCCTAAGCACCCATTAGTGGTTGGTGTATGATATCATGCCAGTTTAACTTGCATTCCTTTCTCACATGATGCAATTGCTTAAGCATTTTTAATTACGAATAGCAGTGAATCAGGAGGAAAACAAGGCTTCTTGCAAATGAGGCATCCATAAATCAAGGGTAAACAAAGCTGCCTTTGGTATGTGGAAGACATTTTTTTCCCATGACAGTGTTGCAAGCCAGTGAGTGAGTGTCTGAAAATTAATGTTGCAGATGTAATAGATGAATATTCAAGTGACAGGAGCGTACAATAGCATAATAAATAAAAAAAAGCATAATGTAGTTTATAGTACTGACTTTTCTGGGCTTCCAACAGTGGGAAGCTATAGAATAATGATGATAAATTTAAGACCCTGTTAAAATAGGTGTGATTAAATATCAAGAATAAAGATCAAGAAAAAAAATTAATTGTTGAATCATTTAAAAATTTAATGATTATACCTTTGGTAGTATGTCCTTTGACATGGCCTTTACTGTATTGTAAGTAGACCTTAATTTACATTAGGTCCATGTTTTCTCACACTTTCAGGTTTTGTATTAGTTTAAACTCTTAATTGGATTATTTTTCCCACTCTCTACTTGAAAGCACGAAAGCACATGTAACAGGTTGTACCTTAATGAGGCTTTCCTGCTTTTCTGCCATATCTCGCCACATACGACATCAAGAGGACTTAGCACTTAGGGATGTGTTTATGGTTGGAGAAGCTGCTGCCATGGTTTGTAAGCGGGGGTGCTGATGGTCAGCTGAAACGGGCTGGTCGGCTCGGACCTCCCCAGGCAGCAAACCTGGCCCCATGAAGTGACTTCCATGGTCATGGTCTCACGGGAACGTGGTGGTCTGCAGTGCTGAGTTGGGTGACCAGTGCTGAAAGAAGAAGGAATGACAGATCTTGCGAGCAACACCATGTGTTCTTGGCTTCACAGCAAAGGACACATTAGTCCCAGAAGAAAAGATAGCCCTGTCTATTCCAGGATTAGACGTACAACTTTTCTTCTTTGAGAAGGAGCATATTTTAGGTTTGGGTGGGTGTTAAACGTCTGACTATAAAGACTTGCCTGAATAGTTTGTTGTCACAGAAATCTTCCTTCCTCCTTGGAAGAACTCTCCGCACGAAAGCTTGCTCTTGTCTTTCTAAACAGGATTTTGTCTCCTCCATTTTCAAAGCTTTGTTCAACTTAACCTTTTCCATTTCGCAATGCCCTCTTACCTTTTGATACTGAAATCAATAAATCTTTTAAGTATTTTCATATCTTCATAAGTACTGTAGTGTTAATTTTTTTAAATCTAAATATTTATTAACTGGAAGATGGCAGGTTTAATACTAGGCATGACTAGGTGACTTCAAAACCTAATTATTCTGTTCTACTGTCACAATTCTCATTATTAATTAATCTAATGCTTGAAATTATTTCTTTTAAAAAAAAAAAAGTGAGTAACTGCTGACTACCTAAAATTCCCACTTCAAAGCAGATTTAGAGACTCTGGGACTGTTGCACTGCTGCTTGCTCCTCCCCGTGCCTCCTCTTTCCTTCTTTCCCTTGGATGTGCACGCACTCTTGCTTCTGGCTGTTTTTAATTCCTCCTAATGTATTCGCCTGAACTAGTTAAGACTCTAATTCTGTGACAATAAACTGATAAAGCAAATAGTTGAACTTTAATGTTGATTAGTGGTCTTCAGTTTAAAAAAAAAAACAACAAAAAAACAATCGTGGCAAATGTTGTACATTACCACCTTCTGTCAGTCAGGCAACCATGTGCGCATCCTTGCTTACGTATTTGCTAATGATATTTTCTTATTGCCTGTTATTAATGTTAGCGGATGTTACTACCGAAGAAAGAGTCCTCCCTGGTGAATGGTGTCAGGGCTGAGTTTCTGTTTATTCTAAACATTTCATTGTGTAATTTGACAAGACAATTAGCCATGACCATTGTTCCGAAGCCTTGATTAAAATTGGCAGGTTAGTGAAATACACTGATGTCAGCAAACCTCTTAAATGTTAGGGAAGCTACACATTTGTGTTCTAGAAAAAATACGGAAGAAGTCATTAAGAAAGTTAAAATCCATGTTTCTAAACCATGGGTATGTTAAGTAAGAAGAATGTTTTAAAAATACCATTTTTTTAACGTGGTGCTGTGTTATGACTGGGGAAGAACCATGTGATGCTTCCTCTTGTTGAAGGAGCTCTGTTGTGGCATAATCGATAAAACACCCCATGATGCTCACCAGGAAATAATTAAACTTGACCTCTTGACTTGTAAATATGAGTAGTTTATTCTTTAGGATTAGAAGGGTGGGTTTTGTCTTTGGAACATAATCCTTTCCTGAGTGTTCGGTTGTTGTAAAGTGCTTGATGGACCAGAAATGATAGCGCCAAGAGCTTGACCTTTGGTACAAGCAGTGTTCTCTTCCCGAGTGTTATTGTTTACTGCCCTTACTTAATTAGCAAATGTTGCAACATAAGCAGAGGGGAGCTTGACAGTAGCTGAATTTCATGGATGTGTTTATATAAAACAAAACAAAAAACAACACAACCCTCCCTCAACCTTCAGTAGTTTGATAAATTGTTGTTATACAATAAAAATACTGTGCTTGAACAACCTGCAGCAGAAAATCATAGCTTTTTCCTGACAACTGGAGCTATAGCATTAGTGGTAATCTATTTAGTGATAAACCTGAGGATGATTATTTCTCTTTTAAAAAGCTGCAAAACTTGAAATTTCCAGTTGCACGCAATTTTTATTTTTTTTTTTTTTTTTTTGCAATTGCAAGTGATACCTTAGCAAAGTTGATTTCACATTGATTTTTGGTTTGTGGAGAAATCATAATATGGAATTCCAGTTCACCTCAAAATTAGAGCTCACATTGAGCTTACATGGAAAAAGGACACTTCTGTATGTTCTGAACTGAATTAACTTTGTTGTAATAGTGGGAGTAGTTTGGCCACTCTTTTTGATGTGTTGGAAGTACACAAGGCTGTCATCCCTGGATCACACGCTGTGTGGAAAAAGCATGAAAGGCGGCATGAAAATCTTAGCTATGAGTTGCTTACTATAGAAGTGTGAAAATGCCAGTTTTCCATGTGGAACTTGTGCTTCTCTGGGGCCTGCTATAGCATGGGGTGAGAAAATTTCAGTTGGTTTTTGTTGACTCCATGGCAATCATGTCATTTAAAGATTTTTTTTCTTTTTCTTTCAGTAGACCATTAGCAAAATAAAAACTTGAAGATCTAAAGTGCCGTGCTCCTGTTAATTGTAATACTTTATTCTAACCAGATCACACTGATAACTTCTTTGTTGGAATAATCTGAAGCTTCACTTGAAGAACTTCACAGTTCAGTTGCTTAAGTTTCTTTCTTGCAAATGCATGTGTCCTGCAAAAGTTTTTATATTCTCTCCTAATGGGTCGTTTATAAGCGCAGACTTTTTAAAGGTTTTCTACAAAGTGGTCGTGTTTCAGCAGATATTTGCTGTAGAGATGACCGTGTATGCAAGTCAAATGTTGCGCGTGGCTGAAGTTTCAGATACACTTCCCCAAAGTAACCTTAGTGAAAACAGATGGAGCTGACCCACTTTTTTTAGGGTTTGTCTCCACACTTGTCTTAGCCTCCTTTTAATTCACACATTAATCTCAGCTTTGAGTTAACTGATTCTTCGGTTATTTCACCTGCTGATACGTGTTAAAACGTGATTGCTGTTGACAGTCTGAGTTTGTAACACAGCAGCTACAGCTACGGAACTGCTAATGTAGCCATGAGGCTGTTAATCAGGGAGGGTTTTTTTCCAATTTGATGTCTGTATGGGATCGCTTTCACTTGTGCTCGGCTGAGTGGGGTAGGTCGAGCATACCGAACTCAAGCTAACAGGTCTGTAGTGAAGACAAACTTACTTAATATGTGAAGCCAGATACTTTCAATTCCATGTGCTGCTACTACAGTCACAAATACATGATTTGAGAGGTTATTGGTCTGTAACATCCCCCCTGCCCAGTATCTAGCTCAGCTCTTTTTTTGCTGGTAGTTCCAGCACCCTCAGATCTGCTCACATGGCACCTACCCCAGAGCTGATTCTCCTAAAGCCACCTCTGTTCTTAGGTGTCCCGAGGGTGGTTGCCTTTTGGAGTCGATCAGTGCAAGTTGCTGTGTTGCACTGCCCATCGTATTTTGTTGCATTTGTGGTTTTTTGTATTTCTTAGACAGAACCTGTCATGGTGATACGCACCTTGTGATGGTACAAGAAGCAACATAAAGACAGAGGTCACAAGTTAAGGCTCAGTTTTAGAGAAGAGGTTCTCTGTACTCCTGTTCGCTGGGAGGATGAAGGGGCGATGTGGAGTTGAGGGAACTCTCATTAAAAATGCTGCGTGCAAAGAAGTACTTCTCCGAGTTCTTGGAATTTATGTATATTTGTTTTTACAAAGCCTGTTTAATGCTTAATTAACATTTACTAATGTTTTCTTGTCAACACTGAAATGCATTGTGAGTGGTTCTGAGTATCTGCAATTAATATAAAGAATGTTCTTTTGTAAAATCATTATTTTGGCTTTACATAGCAGGCTGAGTAAATTAACACAATTATGATAAAGGTACTATCTGGTTAGAATTTTTCACACAGTAGTTTTAATCAATTTTTCTTTGTTCTTTTTTGTTTTTAATGGATGCTGTAACATGCACTATGGCCAACTGTTTATTACTGGAAAGGTAAAACAGGCTGTTCATCTCATTCTTTTTCCTTTGCTTTTCCATCCCACTCTAGTTTTGGCAAGCAGTCTGGAGGAAAACGAGGATGCGAATGTATCATATTGGAGCCTTCAGAAATGATTGTGGTAAGACACGTTTTTCAAATGTATTTAAATGTATTGCTGGTTTCAGCAAATTCTTTCTGTTTTATAGCAGAAAGCTTATTGTAAAGTATTCTATAAAATTGCAGCAAAATTGCCTTGATTTCAATTATACCTATGGCTGCTATCGTAACAGCAATAGCTATGTAAATTTAATCTAGATGGGTAGATGATGATGATGATTAGGTCATTCTTTCTAAAATTATGCTTACTTGAGTTTCAAAAGCCTACCAGTTACGGCTGAGTTGAGCATTCCTGAATCAGGCAACGATAGACTGCTATCTTGAATATTTTATTTACATCCCAACTCTCCCTTTCATTGCTTTTTACCGGCCTTGCCAGCCGTGCTGGGTCTGGTAGTAAAGGCCTTCTTATTCCTAGCCTTTGCAGTTCCACATGGTGTGAAGGCTTTTAGGTAAGAGGAGAAGGAGCAAAGGAGTGCTTAGCCAAGCTTGAAGGATAAGGTTTTCAGCTCAGTTGTCATCGACCTTTTCCGTGTCCAGCTTTCCTCCTGCTTCTTCAGAATACTTACTAATACTGCCAAGTTCATTTGTGCTTATAGGCTGTAACTCAGTCCTTCTCAAGTTGATGCACACATACCGTCACCAGCTGGAATGTTAGAATCATACAATCGTTTAGGTTGGAAAAGATCTTTAAGATCATCAAGTCCAACTACAAACTTAACACTGCCAAGTCCATAGGATTGCTTTTCCGTAGTGCAGACTGATGTTGTACCGTAGTAGTGTGGCTGGGAACTCGGGAAGATCTCTTTCAACTTTGATCTTAGAAGATGCTGGTAATGGAGCTGGACCAAAAATGTTTGGCGTTCTGAGAAGCCACGTGTCTGTTGGGCTTAGAACTCCAAACTGTGATTGATTTAGCTTCTTTATATCTAGATATGGTAACATTGAAACTAATATTTGATGATGTCTCTTACTCATTGAGTACGTGAATATTCAGCGTCTGTGAGAAATTTGGTTCTCACGGTACACTGAGAGCTGTGGCGTCAGAGATGCCCTGTGCAGAGCACGCTCGTTGTCCTTTGCCATTCTTTCCGTGCGGTGTCAGTCTGATTCTGCTGGCGGGCTGGCATAGCATCACTAATGTGCTCTTTGCTGCAGCAGATGTTTTAAGCTACAGTCTGCCATGTCATGGAGTAAGTGCAGGTAAGAGCGCAAGAAGCCTGTCTCAGTCTTCTGGAGTGAAATAGTTCATTTGTGTATTCCCAGTTACCCAGACTCTTCTCAAAGCTGGAATTTTTGGGGAGATCTATATGCCTTGAGGAATGCCACAGGACTGCTTGGGTGATATGTGCAGCCATGTCATGCAAATGCCCCAGGCCCTCTGGTTTGCCACTGTTGCTTTGCATTTTTGCCTGTTAACTGCTGCCGCCGAGGGTTTGGTCTGCTGGGTGCGCCTGCGCTGGCTGCCTGGGGTGAGCTGAGCCTTGCACCTCAATGCTCTGCGCATCTTGTAGCACAGAATGGCAAATGCTCACTTTGTCTAATCACATATAGGCCTTTAGACTATCTCTGTAATCCTTCAGGTTGGTGTAACAGAAGAATTTGGTCTGTTTGGACCAATTTCACTAACAAACCAGTTACACAACTCTTAGCTTCTGTAACTGCTGCTGCAGACATTACCAGACCTGGAGTGCTGCTTCCTACAGAACCCCAGTACGTGGTGACGCAGCCGCGGTTTGCCGCGGGAGCAGGCTGGAGCGTGCGGGGGAAGCGTGGGACTTCCCTTACGGGGCTGGCTGGTGGCTCGCTCGCTGCAAGTCCCTCTGCAGGTTTATATGAAATATATTCCACGGGCAAAATACATGATAATATGAAATTATTAGGCAATACCAACATACTTGTTGGCCTTATCACCATTGTTGTGTTTAAAAAAAAAAAACAACCAAACAAAAACCAACCAAAAAAACCCAACCCAACCAAAAAAAAACCCCAAAAAACCAAACCCAAAACCCAAGAGGATGCGAACGGAAGAGTAGCTTCTGTGTAGTGTGTGCTACTGGAGAGAAAATGACCTTATTCAAATATTTTATGAAGAAACTAGAGAGCTTTGTTATGTGTATAGCTTGAGTAGCTAAAACTGTGATGAGTTTTTTTTCAGAGGAGCACACTGTCACAGTCTTTGGAGACGCCAGTGTTGGCAGTGTCAGCCACATCAAATGCTGCTGGTTGTTCCTGCAGACAAACGCACAACCTGGACAACTGTCCTCTGTATTTTAAACCTCTTGAGCTTTCTGTAATTGTAGTTAAATCCGACTGAGCATACAGAGAATGTAGCGATACCTGAAAGTACCTTAAATCCTTTTCTGGAACTGCACTATATTTTTCTGTAGGAAAATCGGAGAACTAAAAGCACAAAGTTGTTTCTTCGTTATTTTTATGTTCATGTTTAAGAGGCAAATGTAGCTAAAGGTACCATTAACTGTCAGTTTTCTGGGTAGGACTTCAAAGGGGGTGAGAGAAAAGCACCAGTGTGGCGGCACCTTGCTCATGGTATGCACTGACACAAGGTGTACCTGAGTTTTGTTTCCCTGATTAAATCTTATTAATTTATCCTAATGCTTTTATTTTTGCTCTCTTTTTTTTTTTTTAATTTGCAACATACTAATGAGGTTTAATACATAATGAATATTTATCAAGCAAAAGAATTAGCTACTTTAATGTAGTTAAAGAACACCATCGTTCTCTACTGCTGACAGATTCTTCCCCCCTTTCTTTTTAGAATGTAAATCAGTTTTGTAGCGGGAATCCTCTGGGAACTGACCCGTTTTAAAGGCCATAAAATGTGGTCAACTTAAGTTAATGAGGATAACAGATAGTGTGTGAATGGGCATTGTAGCTCATATTTTTGGAGGCTGAGCAATGTATTGAATTAATAATAGATCCATTTATCACTTAAGAAAATGGCCCAGAATCGCAGCATATCTCAGTGTGCTGAAGTCTCCTTTCTGTTGTTCCTTGGTGCTTTCATTTTCCTTCAGATCTAAGCGTAAGATTTCAGAAGAGCAGCATGATATTTGGAGGTGGAAAATATTTCATTGCTGGCATGGACTGCAGAGTGCAATTGAGGAGAGTCCAATGATCCTCCTCAATTTTTACATGGCAGCGAGTGCTGTGGGTGAAGCCGGCCGTACCGAAGCATTCTGCTGCTGCCAGCAGTCAAGGTGCTGTGGTTTAACCCCGGCCGGCAGCCCAGCCCCGGCAGCTCAGCCCCCCCAGCCGCTCGCTTGCACCCCTGGTAGGATGGGGGAGAGAATCGGAAGGGTAAAAGTGAGAAAAGTGATGGGCTGAGATAAAGGCAGGTTATTAGGAAAAGCAAGAGCTGTGTGCACAAGCAAAGCAAGGGGTTCATGCCCCGCTTCCCATGGCAGGGGGTGCTCAGCCATCCCCAGGACAGCCAGGCTCCATCACGCCTAAGGGTGACTTGGGCAGACAAACGCCATCGCTCCCAATGTCCCCCCCTTGTCCCCCCCTTCCTCCTTCTTCCCCCAGCTCTATGTGCTGAGCATGACCTCATATGGTGTGGGATACCCCTGGGGTCAGTTGGGGTCAGCTGTCCCAGATGTGTCCCCCCCCAGCCTCTCGCTGGTGGGGTGGGGTGAGCAGCAGAAATGTCCTTGGCTCTGTGTAAGCCCTGCTCAGCAGCAACAAACACATCCCGGGGGTATCAACCCAGTTTCCAACACAAATCCAAAACACAGCCCCATGCCAGCTACTATGGAGAAAATTAACTCTACCCCAGCCAAAATCAGCACAGAAGTTAATAAAAACACCACCTTTGATTAGAAACTAGCCAGTTAACATGCTATTCTGAACTTCTTGTAACCTATTGAAGATGAAATAATATGAAGAAGCCTGTGGGGCAGCAGCCACCATCTGACCTGGTGGGCTGGTGGCATGTTGGTCAGCCCAGTCCCCCCCGCTGCTGTGGTGGCACGGGGAACCGGTCCTCCCTCCGCTCCCATGCCGGGGCCTGCCTTGCAGCATCCACAGAGATTGCCACATTCCTCCGTAGGAGCGTTCGTCCTGCTCGGGGGGGTGTAAGGAGGTTGGATATGCTCTCTGCCAACAGAAGTTTTTAGTTTTAACCAGGTGAAAGCACGGCTAAGTGATGAGCAGTGCGAGGGAGCCCCGGCTTCTCTGTCCTGTCAATGTGCAGCATATCAAGCCCCGTTTGGTTATGTTCTTGCAAATCATAAGCATAAGCAATCTGATGGCCAGCTGGACTCAAAATACCGATTCTGCTGGTGGTACCAAACTGGAAGCTACGTGGTGTGGGGGTCTTCCCTGGGTTTCGGATTTTTGTTTGGTTTTTGTCAGCAGCAGTGGCATTACCGAAGGATGCGGGTGGTCTCGGCTTCTGAGTTTCCACTAGCAGTTGGTTGTTTTGCCTTTGCGCTAACAAATAATGTATTTATGCTCGCTTCTTAGTTTTACGGTTAGAATTGTGGAAGAAAAATAGTTTCATCTTACAGTGAATGTCTGTTTTACTTGGTCTTGAAAATGCCCATTCAGTTTGGGAATTCTTAATAATAAGGGTCATCAACATTGGAAGAGTCGTTGTCCGGCCACTTCAGCGAGCCCTCGGCGTCCAGGTTAGTCTGTTATGTTGGAGAAGCTCAGCACTTGTTTTAGTTTCTATGGCCTTATAAGATTGAATGCAGAGGAAAAAAAAAAAAAGGAAATAATGCATTTATTGAAGGAGCTTGTGGACTGCAGCACATGTACAAAAATAAAATATGAAATCAACACATTATTTAATAGAGTAACTCTTGTGAAACCAAACTTCCTTACTTCTGGAAGCCTTCTGTATAATTTGAGAACGACTTGATTGCTAACTAGAGCCCCATATTTTATGCTAAGGTGAAGAAGGGCTTCTGTATCCAGTGTCTTGCTACCTTTTTTTTGATGATACTAAATGGCCTGTGTAAAAGGATTTTTTTTTTTTTTGTCTCCCTGCATGTC